TTGTTAGTTCTTGGTTCTTAGAAGAATGCAGTGTTCTCGAGGAGTTGTTCGAGTATCATATTGAAGGAAGAGTGTGACTGCGTGATGTAACCGCGGTAATTGTGCTAGCCGCGAGCACCATGGCATGCCGCTGCTCCCGTGTGGGGGACACGCCAAGACAATAGATTGACTCTTGCCGTCCCTTGATGTCCTACATAGACTAGTCCGTCAACTGTTTTCTCACAGATCTCCACATTCTACCAGCATGTTGCACAGGTAGCTCCACCCCAGCGCTTAACTTACACTGTATATCATGTAATACGATGCAGATTACAGCCCTCGTCCAAGGGGAGTGTCTACGGAGCTGCGGAAATAACACTACACCGGCCCGGCTCTACCGCGGAACATTGCCGGGTCTGTCCGGCCAGCTAATCCTCCACTACCTCAGATGCATGTGATGGTGTTTTCGGCGACCAAGAATGAGGTATTTTGAGACTGGCTAGTACTTCACTCAGTCAACCAGTGATTCTCACATAAATGTCCACGAATTGTATCTGAAACCTGTGCCTGCCTAAGTAGTCTAAACAAAATTGATATCTGTCAAGTAATTTCCTGATTTAATTGACGATATTTTCGGAAACATCCCAGTAAATACCCAGTCTTGGCATGATACCCCTGCGTTAGCGGCCAATGTTGGTTTTCCTCCATCTTACAGTACAGACAGTTACATCGACAATCTGATCTATTGCTTCGAGACTCCTCTTCGATTGTCTACATGTAAGTGCAATCTAATGCCCAGTACCACACTCTGGGGCTGACAGAATTTCCCGTCAGCCACTAAATTTTCGTGCTCAATAACATCCTCTTTACATTACACGTGGACGTCCCCATGTGTTCTCTTCTGCTCTCATCGAATCCTGAGCTTCTAATTCCACATATCCAGTTCATCCAAACCCTTCTCACGGGAACACGATGTATCTCTCTCGACTTACAGTCCAAGCTGCGTTGGCTATGGTCGGGGCTTTAGCTGGACAGCCGCCTATCATATCTCCTAGGCAGTTGGAAAGTCTATGCTCGACATACACCGTTCATGCCAATGACACGTGCATCAGTATCGGCAACGATTTGAATGTCACATGGGCTCAGTTAATATCATGGAATTCCGCCATCGACAAGACTTGCTCGTATGTCCGGGCAGTCTCATAATCCTAGGGCAACACTAAATAGCCAGCAGAAACTTAGCTACTCTTGTGAACACCGATCTCTGCGTGAGCAATCCTCTAGGGGACTATGCCATGCCCTCTAACACCGTGGGGGCAACCAGCATTGCGACAACACCAGCGTAAGCCAATTACTAGTACTATTCAAGTTCTACCCACAAGCTTGCTAATAATCATCAACAGTCCCGTCGCTACACCTACAGCGGATGGGACAAATTCTTATTGTGGCCAGTATTACCTTATTGATACCGGCGATGACTGTTCTACCATCACCACCAAATTTGGCATTGACTTGGATGATTTGTGAGTAATCCACTAATGTTTGAGTACCGCCCAGTCGGCGAGTTGTCTGTAATATTGCTTTTCTTCATATAGACCGAGTCTAAAGTTGCGGCAAAGCCCTAACATGTATGGATAGCATATTTCTCAACCCTGAAATTTGGGAAAACTGTACAAATCTCATGAAAGATTATTACTACTGCGTTCAGCCTGTTGGCACAATAACGACGTATTCAGGCCACCCAGAATCAACAACGACGATACCTTTTGTCGAGACTTCGGCAACAGCAGCGCCGTACATCGATATACTCGCTAACTATACTACTAATGTGACCACCGTTCCACTTGCTAATGGTAGTCGTTTGGACTGCTACGAGTAAGTTCTTTCGCCATTAGGCTTTTTAAGGCGGAGGTGTACGTGCTTATGGCCCATAATCAGGTATACATATATTCAGAATGTTTCAGACATGGCAAGTATGTCCTGCTGGGGTCTTGCCACATTCTACGACATCGAACGAGAGGTATGTCGAATGGTCACTAGTTTACATGATTGTACACTCACTCGCACACAGGAGCTGGTACTTTGGAATCCGTCTCTAGCTCAGGATGGAGAGAATCTCACAAGCTCGACTAATTACAAATATGACTGCGAATTGAGTGAAAGTGTGTCGTACTGTGTTTTACTTGCTTCGCCTACCCTGAGTGAGTGAATTCCGGTCAATCTCCCACGCTTCGACCAAGACTAACCAAGACCATGACGATTTGCAGCTTCTAGTGGTGCAATTCAGACTCCGAATCCCCGAGCAGCCGGAGAGGTGGCAAACTGCACGGAGTGGTATCTAATGGAGACATTCTCCACCTGCCAGGACGTTCTGGCTCTTTACGGGATAACCTTGAAAGACTTCTACGCCTTTAACCCCTCGGTTGGCAGCACTTGTTCGACCATGGCTGCTGGTACCTACTACTGCGTCTCTACCAATGCGGATGGTACTGCTCCTGGAGATGATGGCTACACAGTGACAACAACTACGTCCAGCTCCGCCCTGTCAACAACAACCGGCGTTACGACACCTTCGCCCGTCCAGGTATTTCCCTCCGCTGAGTCTTTCTAGATTGATTTATGAAATTCGAGATCACCGTGCAATGATTCATGAAGAGAGAACTAACATGGTACTGCTCTATAGACTGGCATGGCTTCTAATTGCAACGAATTTTACTACGTGGTTTCTGGTGATGGTTGCTGGGCCATCGCTAACGACCACGGCATCGCGTTAGATGATTTTTACGCCTGGAATCCCGCTGTCGGTTCGGACTGCTCCGGTCTCGAGGCGGAGGTGTATGTTTGCGTTGGAGTCTCCCAAACGGCAAGTCCAACAACGACGACGATGGCATCTTCCACGACGTCTAGTGCCGCCATCGTCACACCGACACCGACCCAATCTGGTATGGTAGATGGCTGCAAATCTTTCTACTATGTGGTTTCCGGTGATGGATGCTGGTCCATCGCGAATGACCATGGGATTGAATTGGCAGACTTCTACGATTGGAATCCCGCCGTAGGGACGGACTGTGCCTCTCTGTGGCCCGACTACTATGTCTGCGTAGGTGTGTAGTTCATAACCGAACGATTTCTCCTGACTAGGAGGGGAATCAGTGTTCCATGTAATCGTAATGTGATATCCAGTGCCGCGGAGGTTAGAATAAAACATCGCGGACTTTTACACTCATTCGCAGTGAACGTAGGCGCGTCTTTTGTTTCATGGACATCATTGAATCAAGATCTCGGCATGTGGGGGGCGCGGTCATTTCCCATTCTTTTGACAAATTCAGGGTCTATAGCAGGGGATCGACGAGGGCAAGAACATTATCACGCGATGATGCTCCGTAAGTAGCATCGCTCACTCCAACATCTGCAAGATCCAGGGGTAGGATTTATACCATACCGTGGAGCCTGCGTTGGCGGGACTAGGTGCCTCTTAACTGTTAGCGGCGGTTTTTTGTCGCGATTAGGCCTGTGGACCGGTATGCTCAGTATTCGGCATTTCTTTCCGTCCCGAGGAGGCAAATGAGACGACTAGCGAACTCATTGATTGGATATCCAGCCGCCGGCGAGTATTTATTACATGATTGCCCCCAGGAACAGGGATCTTGGTAGATGCGTTGCAAACATCAATAGTGTGTCGTGCATTTCCCGTAATAAGCCTCGTGATTCTTGGCACTCACTTCCCTGTCAAAATATTGTGGCTCCTCTAGCTTAATGTGCCAACTTGACTACCAAACCTGTCTCAGCATTGGACGAATGCAAATGTGCAGGTGGTTGTCTTTCGGACACAATCATTCAACCATTTTTTCGTCCGTTGAAGCCGCTCTTGTAGATGGAGCCATCTAAGTCAAACACCGCCGAAGGACACCAACAGGCGGCGTTACGCCTCCCACGCGAGATTGTCGCAACAATCTGCGACTTGGTCGACAACAAAACCATCAAAAGCTTGCGCCTCACATGTCATTTCTATCTACAAAC